CGAGGCCGTACTTGGCGCAGCCGCTCAGGCAGGCTTTCTGCATGGCGTCGATGGTGTAGCGCAGGAACTCGTGGGCGTCCTCCTGGTTCCCGAAGCGGAAGTGCCGGGCGATCTCTGGGGGGAGGAGGGGGAAAGGAGGACGCATCAGCTGGCGGGCAGGGAGGGTGCTGCCTCCCCTGCACGTCCCACCAACCCTGGCTGACCCGAGGCTAAACGGCAAACCCCTCGGGCGAGGCGAGCGAGGAAAAGGAGCCCCGCATTCACCGCCTCGGACCCGGCCACCATTCCTGCATCTCTGCACTGAGACCAAAGGGCTTAAACCCTCCGCACCGAACAGAAGCACAAATGCTGCCGGGCACAGGCACTGAGGACGGGAAACCGCTGACTGATGGAGCCAGTTTCCCAGGAGCCAGTACAGACCAGGGAGGATTACCCCACTGCAACTTACACAGGCCTCAACCCTGACCCGTCTGCAGGGGAGGGCGCAGCTCAGGGGTAGAGCATGTGCCTAGCGCGCACGAGGTCCTGGGTCCAATCCCCAGTGCTTCCGTTAAAACCAAAACCCAAAAACAGCTTAAAAAATCAATTGTTCTCCAGATCGGGGTCACCACTGCCCTGCCACAATTCCCCCAGGACTGGCCCACGGGACCGGCTTTAGTCCACTCCACTCTGTACGCTGAGTTACGGGGACGTGAAGCCTCGGGCTCCCCAGCTCCACCCCTCCCACCTCCCACCTCCCACCCCCACAAGCCACTCTTACTTCTCAGGTCCCGGATGAAGGACACGGGCTTGATGGCGTTGCCGCTGTTGGCGAAGGCTTGGATGATGTGGTTTTGCATGACACACAGCATACAGAAGCTGCCCTGGTGACCTATAGGCACAGATGAGGCGGTCACTTTAGAGCAGGTGGTGACCCGCACCTCCAGCACAGAGGAGGGGAGCCCGGGCTGGAAGGGCAGCCGGATGTGAGGGGCTGAGGGACGCCAGCCAGGCCTGAGCCTTGCCTGCCCGATGGCACCTGGGAACCGTTCCCTCCACTGGCAGGCGCTCACCGCGACACAGCTCCAGCCCCACCAGTCTGAGTTTCAAAATGCAGCACAGAACAATGTTTTCTCTGATTTCCAAGTTGCATCACGTGGTCAACAGGCTCGAATGTTCAGGGCTTAATGACAACCCCTTAGCCCGCTCTTCAGCGTGGGGACCTCTGCTCTGCTGCTTCCACGAGGCACCAGGACCTGGACAGCTCTGGGGAGACCCCAGGGCATGGACTCCCGGCTCTGGGGGCTCGTGGGCTCCGTCTGGGGTATAGGCAGTGCCCCAAGCGACCCCAGATGACACCTAAACGGCGGGGACGTGTTCACAAAGCCCAGCAGCCACTGACGGAGCGCCCAGGCTGCGGCGCGCCACCCCACCTGGGGACGAACTATTTGTGCCTTGCAGGCGGCAGGCCAGACAGTGCTGTGTCCCCGCCTCTCCTCACAAGTACGAACTCTTTAACGCAGAGAAGTGTGGAGACTACACCCCCCGTAGCTGATTTTTAAGTCAAGTGCTGGTGTGATAGTTGAACTCCTCTCTCAATCTCTCGAACCCCATTCTCCGTGTCCTTCATCAGCAGTGACCACTCTCCCCAGTTAGGCCACCACGGCTCCCTTTCATGTATTTGCTGTATCACACACATGGCTCTCACGAGGATGCACAGCGCCGCAGCAGCAAATTTAAGCTGACTTTTTATGAACTGTAACGACCTGCTCTTTAATCCACCCTCTAGACCACAGGGCTCCCTGCTCACGCACATGGACCCTTCCCCTTCCCTGCCGCCACAGACCGCTGCAGTGAATGGTCCTGTCCCCGGCCCCTTGTGCGTGTGAACTTCTTGAAGGCACACACGTACGAGATAAAATTTCCAGGCCCAATGGCAAGCGCATCTTTAGCGCTGCAAGATGCTGTAGTCTTGTATACAGAGCACCACCTTCCCAAACAGGCCCAGCTTCTAACACAAAGTCCCCCACAAACCAATGATGCTCCCCCGAACACTGCTGACACGCAGCTACTCGGACCTGTCTCAAAGTAAGAAACCAAACAGCATGCAGCCCATTCACCTCATGCACATAAAAATGCCAGTGTCTGCAAACAAAAAGGAATACAACTTGGCAGATGCGGAGAAACTGGAACCCCCGTGTGCTGTCGGCAGGCATATAAAATGGGGCCGCCACTGTGGAAAACACTATGGTAGTCCCTCAAAAAATTAAAAGTAGAGTTCCCATGTAATCCAGCAGTTCCTCCTCTGGGTAAACACCTAAAAGAACTGAAAGCAGAGTCTCAAAGAGATATTTGTACACCCAAATTCACAGCATTACTCTCAAGAGCTAAAATGCAGAAGCAACTCAAGCGTCCCATCGATAGATGAATGAATTCAAACGTGCTCTCTACATAAAATGGCACATTATTCAGTCTTAAAAAAGAAAGGGCACCTGACACCTGCTACGACAAAGAGGCCCTCTGAGGACCCGTGCTCGGTGAAGCCAGTTGCAGAAGGACACGCGCAGTGCAGCTGCACTCACACGAGGTCCTTGGAGGAGTCAGATTCGCAGACAGAAAGCGGGATGGACAGTCCCAAGGGCAGTGGGAGTGGGGCTAGCTTCTAATGGGCACAGACTTCCAGTCTGAAGAAGTTCGAGAGATGGACGTGGTGATGGCTGCACAACAAGGTGAATGTACGTAACACTGCTGAACTGGACATTTAAGATGGTAAATTTTGTTGCTTGCGCTCACCATGATACTAAGAAAAATTGTTTTTAAAAAATGCTGTTATTTACACAAAAATTTCTTCTTGGAGGGATATTAAAAAAACTGTTCATGTGATTAATGCCTTTACATAAAGGGGAGGCTTTTATTTTTCATTTTAGAGTTCTCTCAACCCTTCTAACTGTACCCATTGGTTGCTTTTATTTTTCAAAGGGCAATAATTGAGGAGGGGGCTCAAATTTAGGCAAAACACTGATGTTATTTAAGACAACAAACACAACCCTTTAACAAATGTTAAACAGACAAAATCTAATTCATGTTAAAATATTACTATAAAAATCATGTGGAAATTAAGCCTCTGATCATTACGTAAAACACTGAGACGTTTACCCTAATAAATCACCATTCTTAAATAGGGCAGGTCAACAACTTCAGCCAGAAATACCTGACACAGGATTCCCCGAATCCCTGGAAATATGAGAGATTAATTTAAGCGTCACGTGGACACTTCCTTCAGGTAATTTAGAAAAACATGACATAAAAGTCTCATCCATGACTTCTAGGACACAGCTGATTAACCTTGGGGGTGACTGTACTAAAGGACAGGGTTTAACCCAACCGGACACTTGACACACAGTGTTTATTTTCCAAATAGATCCTGGAGCAGAAGTGGTCCAGGCACGTGGAGGGGCAGGTGGTCCAGGAGACAAAGCAGACCCTCGTCCCATCCAAGCGATACTCTCCTGGATGCTCAAGAATCTTCTAACAGCAAATTCAAGGGGGAAGAGGACAGCCTGGGCCACCTGGGGGTCACGTGGGGACCTAGCAGGGTGCAGGGAAAAAAATACTGAAACTGCTCTGGATGTGTTTTACTCTAAAAAAGCTAAGGAATTACAGCTTACTGACACCTGAGTGACGCAGAGCGACACTGGACCTCCCTGGGGTCGGCCTGTGACGCTCACAGGAAGGGGGCCACTCCCAACACGTGCATCCCACCCCCCAGACACTACAGTGCACGTGCACCGGGTTATAAGGATTTACAGACGTTACCTACTTTTAACTAAATGAACCCTCACAAAGCTGGGAACGGCTCAAAGATTCCTGCAGAGAAACAGAGCAGAAGGCAGCTCTGCAGGGACACCCAGGGAGCAAGGAAACAGCAGAGGACCTCACCGCCAACACCGCGAGACAAACAAAGAGACAAAAACAAAGAGAACCGAGCTGAATCTTCGCATGAGTTCACCCAAAACAACCTCAGCATCACCAAGGTGACTGTCGGAAACAGAGCTTCACAACCAGCTTCATCTCAGAAGGAGGCGCTAGACCTGGATGTACTAACCTGGGCCGCCTCCTCTGCTTCCTGAACCCATTATAATTACAAGACATGTAAGATACTGTTTTCCATCTAAAACAAAGGACACAAGTGAACTTATCTACAGAACAGAGAGAGACTCACAGACTTAGAGAACAACTTATGGTTACCAGTGGGTAAGGTGAGTGGGAAGGAAACAATGGGAATTCGAAAACTGCACCTCTTGGGAGGGATGGAAATGTGAGCTGTCTTGCCTGTGGTGGTGGTTTCATGGGTGCACACATCTAGCAAAACTCATCAAATTGTACATCTGAAATATGTGTAATTTACTGTACAGGAACCATACCACAATAAAGGTGTTAAAAAAAAAGAGAGAAAAAAGTTAAAAATAAAAAAGATACTGGTTTCCACAGCACGGCCTTCTTTCATTCTTTTCTGCTTTTTTCTTTCCTTAATTCTTTTTTTTTAAATAATATTCCTGAACATATGATACAATCCCAGACTTTGATCACAACCATGTTCCCGCCTCTGGTTCTACCGATTTCTAATTATTTACCAACTTTCAAAAGTCATTGTTTTATTTTCTTAAGTTTTATCACATATAGCTACACTGAAATACCAAACTGTCTTGTCTGTCCTTCAGCTCTGTAGGGAGGAATCCATGCTATCTGCAGCCTTCCAGGCCTTTCTCGCTCACTCCACGCTGTATTCAGACTCTCCCTCCCGCCGCATGCTGCTCTACCACGTGCCTACGAAATTCGGGTATCCTTCCCGTTGACGGGCACCTAGGTTGCTCAGTTTTCTGCTGCAGATGCTGTCACGCAGGTGTCCCAGTACACGAGCAGTAGAGCTCTTCTGCAGAAGAACTGCTGGGTACAGATCACAAGAAAGATAACGCCAGGCTGTCTTCCAGGGCGGCCGTGCTGACTCAGGCCCGGAGGTCACAAAGAACCTTGCTGCCTTCCATCCCCTCCGACCTTCGGGCTGGGCAGACTTTGGAGTCATCATTGGTTACAAAGGTGGAGGGCGGTTCTGATGCGTCTCCCAGTTACTAGGTGACTGGCGACCGCCGCCTCTGCTTCCTGACTGTGAGGGTCGTCTTCCACAAAGTGCCTGCTCCTCCCGTGTATCTGTTCAATACATGGCTGCCTTTTCCTTGTGGACCTGTGGTTCTTTATATATTCTTGATGTCAGTCCTTTGTTGTTTGTGCCCCAGGTTTCATCTCCCCATTTGTAGTTCCCTGTTTGTCTTTTGTTTTTTCATAAACAGAAGTTCTTAATTTTCATGCAGCTGAATTTATCCATCTTTTTCTTTTGTGGTTTGTGCCTTCCGAGTCTCATTCAAGACATCTCCCAACCCAGGGTCAGAAAGATATTTGCTCATGTTTGTCATAAAAGCATGGTTTTTACTCCTGATACTAAGTTTTTAATCCATTTTCTGGTGTGAGTATGCTGTGACATGGGTAGTCTATCTCATTTTTTCCATACGTAAGTCCTACGGAGTTCTCCCCCAAGTTCCATTTATTTAAAATAGGAGACACATGTATACATGAAAAACTGACATGAAATGCCACACTTTCATGTGTGCACGGCCCACCCCGCCGCGCTCACACTCCCAGCCTCAAGTGTGCACAGCCCGCCCTACCACATTCACACTCCCAGCCCCGCTTGTGCATGGCCCGCCCCGCCGCGCTCACTCCCGGCCCCGC